GATTAAAAATAAATTATAATAATATCCAAACAGTTCATCCCTAGTCAAGCATTATCTTGCTAACGTTTCTCCTTCAGCCAGTTGACAGGCGATTACACAGGAGAGAAGTCAGCAGAGGAGATGATGCCTGTGTTGGCTGTGGCTTGCTCAGCTACCAGATTTTATGTTAGAAAGTTTGGGTTTGATCAATCAAGGGAAATTTGTAGTAGCAAGGTCTGGAATGTGCTTCTTATACATCATGAGTTTTGAGAGGATAAAAGCAACAGTGTGAGGAAACAAAAAACAAAACAAGAAAGAGAGAAAAAGCCAAAGCTGCACGTTGAAAGGAAGGGATACGGCAGCCAATTACGGGGCCTGTAGACTGAGTCACAGACTGGAAGTCAAGGAGCATGGGCCACCTTCCTGAGCTCAGGGACTGAATTCACCCCAGGCTTGGGGCACAGCGCTCCAGCATCCTCTGTGGGGGGCTGTGTGTGTGTGTGTGTGTGTGTGTGTGTGTGCTGGGGGGGGGTGTGTGTGTGTGTGTGTGTGTGTGTGTGTGTGAGAGAGAGAGAGAGAGAGAGAGAGAGAGAGAGAGAGAGAGAGAGAGAGAGAGCTTGCTGATTTATTGATGTGTAGATAGCATGGGAGGCATTCAACAAGCTGTGCTTTTGATTCTCCTTTATTCCTACCCTTTGTTGACCAGGGATTGCACCTAGAGCCTTGCTCCTGTTGAGCTATAGCCTCAGCTTTCTCTCTTAAAAACTTTTTAAAAATTGAGCCAGAGAGTTGGCTCAGTGGTTAAGAGCACTGGCTGCTCTTTCACAGGACCTTACATAGTGGCTAACAACTGTCAGTAACTCTAGTTCCAGGGGATCCAACATCCTCTTCTGGTCTCCAGGGCATTGTAAGACATGGATGCACTTACACACATGCAGGCAAAATGCATACACATACAATAAAAAGTAATTAGAAAATTATATTTATTTACTGTGCGTATGTGTATACTCACTTGCACAAGATCAGAGGATAACTTGTGGGAGTGGGTTATCTCTTCCATCATGTGGGTCCTAGGCATGGAACTCAGGCTTGTCTGCAAGGTGCCTTTACCTGCTGAGCCTTTATGTGCTGAGCCATGTCTCCAGCCCCTTGGCTCTTTTTACCTTTTTTAAAAAAATTTATTTAACAATTGTATTTATTTTATGTGTATGTTAAGCCAGCATGTATGTCTATGTACTGAGTTTGTGCCCTGGTACCCTCAGAGGACAGAAGAGGGTGTCAGATTCCCTGGAACTGGAGATGTAGGTAGTTGTATCACCATGTGGGTACTGGGAACTGAACCCAGTGCTCTTACCTGCTGACCCATCTCTCCAGACTTCTTTTTACTTTTTATTTTGAGACAAGCTCTCACCAAAACTCCCAGGCTAGTGTTAAACTCACTCTAGCCTAGGCTGGCCTTGAACATGTGATCTTCCTTCCTCAGCTTTCCAAGTAGCTGGAATAACAGTCCTGAACCACCACGCCCAGGCTTTCTACCTTTCCCTCTCTCTCTCTCTCTCTCTCTCTCTCTCAAGACAGGGTCTAATTACACTGTCCTGGCTGGCCTAGAACTTACGACATAGACCAAGATGACTTTGAAATCACAGAGATCTACCTGCCTGTGCCTCTTGAATGCTGGGGTTACAGACATGAGCCACCATGCCTGGTTTCTCACAGGCTTTAAAACAAAACAAAACAAAACAAAAAATCCACACATTTAGACACCCTGAGGATATATTTTTTCCCCTTTTCTTCAAAAAGAAAAGAATATTCCTGAGGAGAGACCCTTTGTCGGCAATCATTTAAAATGACCAAAGAATTAGCTCAGACCAACAAGAAGATACTTGGCTAAGAAACTGGACACTGTCATGATGGAGAAAGTATCTATACCGTTCCAATGCAGCTGTCATACATCCATTCTTTACACCACGTAGATGTGGCTGGGTATGTGTTGAGTGGGACTGTGTCCCCTCAAAGTCCATACTTTAACCCCCAGTACCTCTATAACTGTCTTTAGAGAAAGGTCCTGCTGGACATAGTGGCTCAATGCCTTTAATGCCAGCACTCAGGAGGCAGAGGCAGGCAGATCTCTGTGAGTTCAAGGCCAGCCTGGTCTACACAGCGAGTTCCAGGCCAGCTGGGGCTATAGGGAGACTCTGTCTCAAAAAGACCAAAATAATAATAAATAATAATAATAGAGGAAGGTTCTTTACATGAAATGGAGACCATTAAGTTGGGCTCCAATGCATCCTGACTGATATCCTCACCAGAAGTTTGGACCACATAAGGCCACAGTAAAGACAGGCCTTGGAGAAACTAAATATTGACACCTTGGACTTCAGCCTTTAGAACTGTGAGGGTAAATTTGGGTGCGTATGCCACCAGTCTGTGATATTTATTATGGCAGTCACTGGAAAAACAATACAGTATTTAAAAAGGCAAACTGGGGGTGTGGCTCCATGTGTCTGCCTAGCAAGGTACAGGTTCCATCACCTGCAGTGAAAAAAAGTGTGTGTGTATGGGGGAAGGACAAGCGGGGACAACATAAGCCCTCGAGAACAAAGCTGTTGGAACAGATTTCTTTCCAGTTATCTGTCTGCCTGCCTGCCTGTCATACTGTGGATCCCCAGGGTCCCACACTTGCTAGGCACAAGCTTTTGCACTGGAGCCACTTGCACGGATTTTAAAGCACTCTGAAGATGTTACTGACATGGAAAGCTGAAGGGGCTCTTGCCACGTGGACTCACACTCGGTGGTGCCCTTTGGTCTTACCCTCCTCATAGCCTTTTTCTCTGCACTGTGCATGCCTGAAGCCCGGAGAAGCCAGAAGCTTCTTGTCTTCACCCTTCCCCTTGGCCATAGCACCCCAGGCTGCATAGAATAGGTAGTTTTCAATGTTTCCCGAGCCAGAACACCTCTGAAATCAGCACACATGTGGTGTTCAGCCTTTCACCCCTTAACCCTGAGTGGACTTATAGCTGGTTCTGGTCTGATGGGCTGGCCCTGTTGCTAATTGACCTGTTTGAGGCAGCACTTGAGAGGAAAGGAAAAAGACTAGACAGAGTCCCATTAAACCCTTCAAGGGACTCCTCCGCTGACCTAAAGGTAGAGTCATAGTTATTACATATCATACAGCAGGCTTTTCTGAGTGAGATGGAAAATAGAAGGAGAGGGACCAGTTCAAACACCACTGGCCTCGAAGCTGGAGAGATGGCTCAGCGGTTGAGAGCACTGGCTGCTCTTCCAGAAGACCAGGGATCGGTTCCCAGTTCCAGGGGACCCAACACCCTTTCTGGCCTCCTTGGGTATTGCACACATGGGTGCACTTACGTACATGCAGGCAAAACACTCATACACATTGAATAAATAAAATATTAAAAAAAAAACAAAACACCCAAACGACTGGCCTCCCCAGAAGACAGGGGTGCAGACTGAGTGTGAAGTAGAAGTCCAGTCATGTGGAAGGAAGCTACAGGTACAGCACAAGCATTCGTTAGATGAGGGTAAGGGAACCCAGGTCTAACCTGCCTCTCAATTTTCATCTTGGGCAATGCCTACAGACAGAGGAAGGCCAAGACTGCCTGGTAAAAAGCTGTCACTGGGGAAACTAACTGAGTCTTGTGTGGGGAACGTGCTGGAGTAGATAGGATGAGATTACAGACACACTGAGTTCATGAGACTTTTGGATCCCCAGGGAGGTAACTAGGGATGCTTAGTAAGCTTTTTTGAAAGTTATTCTGGTCTTTTGTTAAAGATTCAAGAGTCCCATGGTGTCTGGGCCAGGTCCTGTCCTAAGAGACTCACTGCCTCAACCTATAAAATCCTCATAATATCTCTATTAGAAGGACATCACCATGAAGTTCATTTTATAGATGAAGGGATGAAGCTCAGAGATGTTAAGGAATTCACCTGTGCTACACAGTATCAGTTGTCTATTTGACATACCTGGGAAGAGGGAACCTGAATCGGGGAATTTCTTTTACTGGACTGCCCCATGGACAAGTCTGTGAGACATTTTTTATATTATTGAGTGATGTGGGAGGGCCCAGTCCACTGTGGGTGGTGCCACCCCGGGCAGGTGGTCCTGCGTATAAGAAAGCAGACTGAGCACAGGCCAGAGGAACGAGTCAGCTGAAGCAATGCTTCAGCTCCTGCCTCCAGGTTCCTGCCCTGACTTCCCTCAGTGATAAACTGTGACCTTGGGTAGAAGATAATATAAAACCTTTCTTCCTCAAGTTGGTTTTGGTCAGTGTATTTATCACAGCAATAGAAAGCAAAGCAGGACATTGTCTAAGGGTTTGACTCAGGGCATGCTTTGCATTTAATCATTACCTTCTATGCCTTTACTGCCTGTCTAGAATCTCAAATTTGCTGCCTTAGGGCTTTCTAGGCCATGGGTTCACATACCTGTAATGGAAGGGGTAATGAATACATATGGGTGATCACTCTATCCCATGAAAAAAGGCTGGTTTCTGTGACTTTGCTGACTTAGTTAATTTCTTTTTTTCTTTTTGAGACAGGGTGACCTGAACTCACTATGTAGTGCAGGCTGGCCTTGAACTCACAGGGATCCACCTGCCTCTGCCTCCTGAGTGCTGGGATTAAAGGTGTGTACCACCACCCCCGGCCAACCTAGTTAATTTCTATTGATGTGACCAAAACACTTATTAAAATCTACTTGGAAAGGAAAGGGTTTAATTTCACCTTACAACTCCCAAGTCACAATCCAACATCATGGAAAGTCAGGGTAGGGACTCAAGGCTGGAATGCTGCTTACTGGCTTGCTCCTCTGGCCTGTGCTCGGCCTAATTTCTTATATAACACAGCCCCACCTGCCCAGGGGTGTGCTGGGCCCTCTCACATCACTCAATAATCAAACAATTGCCTCATAGACATGTCTACAGGTCAATCCAATAGAGGAAATTCCCCAGTTGAGGTTCCTTCTTCCCAGGTGTGTTGAGTTGACAAGTGGGACGATCCAGCACATGTTCCACGCCAGTTTTCCTTCCTGAGCAGAGTAGGAAAAGTCCAACTTGTAGTGCTGAGCTGGCATGGCCACTCTCCAGCCTTTTCTAGATTCTTGGCCTGGGGTGAGATGACATCTACAGATGACAGTAGTCACGTGGCATGAGATGGGTGGAGCTGCAGCTATTGCGCTGTCAGGTTCCCTGCAACCCACTCAACCCAGGTCAGAAGAGCTGGCAGGGGAAGCTGCTTCTACTGGCTCTCACCTGGCTGGATCCGGAGGAATTTGTAAGTAAAGCTTGGAGGATGATCTGTGGGTCAACACAACACCCACCACCAAGCCGCAGTCTATAGTCACCGTTTGCTCTGTGAGGGGCTTTTGCTCACTCTTCTTCCCTGAAGATAAATTAATAATCAGGATAGACTGAGCTGAGGCAGAGAAAGAAAACTCGAATGGGTTTTCTTCTGAGGACCCCTGTATGTGTTCCCAGTAATTATTTTTGATTCTCATCTCTTTTCTGTTAAAATACATTTTGAGATTAAAAAAAAAAAATTATTTGTCTGTCCCTTTGCCTTGATATCTATTTCATAGCATGGTCCCTGCCAGCTCTGCAGACATGTTGCTGTTGCTTGGAGCCTGTTCGCAGCCAAGTGGGAGAGTGTTTCCACAAAGTTCCATTCCAGTGAAAACACGAGGATAAATGCAATAAAGCAAACTACAAGGAGGAGGTAGGGCTAGGTGCCTGCGTGTGACCTTCATGGCATGGTGTCTGTGTCACTCGGCTGTGGCAGCTCGCACATCCAGGCTCCTTCCATCTTCTCTCTATAGTGAACGGTTTATTGTGGCTTAGAAATTCTCCTGGCCTTTAATATCTTGTCTTTTTTTTTTTTTTTTTTTTTTCTTTTTGGTCTTTTTTTGAGATAGGGTCTCCCTGTAGCCTCAGCTGGTCTGGAACTCACTACATATACCAGGCTGGCCTTGAACTCACTCACAGAGTTCCACCTGCCTCTGCCTCTGGAGTGTTGGGACTAAAGGCATGTGCCACCATGCCTGGCTAATGTCTTTAAGTCTTCTTTTACCCCACTTTCAATACCTGGTTACATTAATTTTCTTGCCGAACTTTTATTTATATAATTTAATTATTTTCAGTGCTGGGGTTTGACCCCAGGGCCTTGTGCATGCTAAATACACATATCCAGCCTTTGAACATTTATTTATTAAGAAATTGTCTCCCAATTTGGCTTCTCTTGATTCCCCATCATTCCAATCTCTTAAGTGTTGGGATTACAGCTGTGTATCATTGCACCTGGCCTGGGAATTTATTTACTTACGTAGGTTTTTTGGACATAGGGTTTCATGCAGCCTAGGCTGGCCTCAAGATCACTATGTAGCTAAAGATGACCTTTAATTGGACTGGAACTTGCTATGTAGACCAGGCTGGCCTCTGCCTCTTGAATGCTAGAATTAAAGGTGTGTGCCACCATGCCCAGCTGACCAGGAATTTTTTTTTTGTCCTTTGTCCACCTTCCCAGAGCTGGGATTACAAGCCTGGCCCACATCAAGAGCAGGGAGAGAAGGGATGCATGCGTGCTGACTACTTAGCTAGCTTTCTTTACTTTTCCCCCAGAGTTATTTTATTGTGTCTGGGGTGTGTGTGTGTGGGTGCAGTAGTCTGAGAAGGCCTGAGGCATGGTATCTCTCTGGAGTTGGAGCCAACTGCTATGGTTCCTGGGACCTGAACTCAGGTCCTTCATAAGAGCAGTGTGTGCTCTTTCTTTTAATATTTAATGTGTATGAGTGTATTGCCTGTATGTAAGTGCACCCATGTCGTGCAATGCTGTGGAGGTCAGAAGAGGGTTTCAGATTCCCCTGGAACTGGAGTTAAGGACGGTTCGTAGCCGCCATGTGGGTGCTGGGAATTGAAGCTGGGTCCTCTGCAAGAGCAGTCAGTGCTCTTAACCTCTGAGCCATCTCTCCAGCCCCTAGAGCAGTATGTGCACTTTACCACTAAGCCTTCTCTTAGCCCTAACCTTCTCTAGTCTTACATAGTCAAAGGCCCCCAAACCAAGGAATGATGCTGCCCACTTTCAGGTAGGCTTTTCCCACATCAATTTAGGCCAACCTGATCTAGATAATCTCTCATTGAGATTTTATTCCCAGGTGAGTCTAAGTTGTGTCAAGATGACAATTAAAACGAACCATCACAGCTTTGAATTCCAGCACTACAGAGCCAGAGGCAGGTGGATCTCTGTGAGAATGAGTTACAAGCCAACTGGGGCTACAGGGAGACCCTGTCTCAAAACAACAACAAAACTAACCATCACAAAGGAGGAATCTTCTCTTACATCACTAATTTTTTTTTTTCCATACAGGTTTTCAACTGACTGGATGAGGCCCATCCACATTCAGAAGGGCCTTCTGCTTCAGAGTCTACTAATTCAAATATCAACTTCATCCCAAACCACAGAAACACATCCAGAATAATAGCTGGGCACCCTGTGGCCAGGTCAAGTTGACGTTTAAAGTGAGCATCACAGGGCAGGAGTGTTTGTCCTTGTCCAGAGCCTTTATGCTCCCTAAGCTGACCTTGCCTGTCATCTCATGTTCCAGCTCAGAACAGAGCTAGGAGACTGCATGGTTAGTAGGGGGCTCATCTTGACAGTCCCTATTGTAGAGAAGAGCCTTTATTGTGATTTAGCTACAGCTGCATTTAATGAGCCTTCCAGCAGTAAGTGGTGGGGAAGAAAATGCTGACTCTGTACTTGCAGTTGGGGTCATGCACCAGAAGTGTTATTTCTGCCCACCCTTCCTCTCTAAACTAACCCTTCATTCTGCCTTTGATGACTCTATTTTTTTTCTTTACTGCCAATTTTATGTTCTCTTTAGATGTCAACTGTGTCCTCAGGAGACAAGATGGCCGAATATCCTGCCAGATGGCATTTGTCTGTGTTTTAATCAAAATGCCCTGTTCTCTCCCCACAATGTGAAACAGCCACATACTGTTCAGGTCAGACACAAGAAATAGCACAGAAGCCCACAGTCGTTTTTCAAGTTTGGGAGGTCAGAAAACAGGCCCAAGTGCTGTTTAGGTTTAATTCTGTCTCCCCAGTGCCAGCCTTGGGCTCTGGGAACAATGGTCCCTGTAGTCAGCTGTAAGCAGGTCTTGAGAGGTGAAGTCCTGAGCAAACACAAGTAGGGCTCAGGGAGAGACTGAGGACAGGAGCTCAAATAGCATTTCCTTCCAATCCCATCTCCCTGTATGGGTGATGGGCAAGGCTCTGAACACATGGTCTCATCCAGGCTTTTCAACCATTGACAGAATAGTGGTCATATCATTTTTCTTTTTATTAATTTAGAGATGGGTCTCACTGTGTTGCCCAGGCAGACCTGGAACTTGTTAAGTAGACTAGGCTACCTTGAACTCATTAGAGATCCTCCTGCTTCCACCTCCTGAGTGCTGAGATTAAAGGTGTGCTCCACCACACCGCTGCCTCCTAAGTGCTGGAATCAAAGGTGTGTGCCACCATGCCTAGCCTTTTTTTTTTTTCTAAATTAAAGATTTGTTTTTAATTATGTGTGTGTGTCCATATGTAGGTATGTACAGGTGAGTGCAGGTGCCCTTGGAAGCCAGAAGTGTAGCATCTCCCCGGAGCTGGAGTTAGAGGCAGTTGTGAGCTATTCAACATGGGTACTGGGAATAGAATTCTGCTCTTCTGGAAGAGCAGCAAGTGCTCTTAATTGATGAGCCATCTCTCTGGCCCAATCCCACTTTTAAAGGTGATGTTCAGATACTTAACCTTCATGAGTTTGTAGTCTGTGCCACATATGATCTTTTTAATGCTCTCAACATCCCTTTGGGTTAGGTGATATGCCCCTAGTTTAAAGGAGGAGACACTGAGGCTTAAGAAAGAAGCAGTTACCTGCTTGAGCTATACAGCTGATGGGTGGGATTCTTGTGATCAACCAGGAAACCCAACACTGGGATTCTGTAAGGCAATGAGTCTCCTGTTTCTTGGGAGAAAGGCAGTAACAATGTTACCTCCCAACTAGAAGGGCCCTATGGTAGCACCACTCAGGCAGGGCAGGGAAGAGGGATCCCATTGCATGGGGCTCTTGGTGTAGTTTGGGGGTCGGGTCTAGGATGCTTTACCGCATACCCAAATCTCTGGATGCTCAGGTCCCTTTAATGAAATGCATGACCCAAACATCTTCACTATGTTTTAAATCATCTCTAGATTACTTCTGATACTTAATGTATTGTCAGTGTTTAAATTCTGTTGGACTATATTGTTTAGGAAGTGTCAAGACTATAAATGCTCAGTATAAACACATTTATTTTCCTGAATATTTTCCTCTTTGATTGAATTTAAAGACGTGGAACTTGCACATATGGAGGGTCAGGTGTATGTCATTTCTAGAAAAGGTTTTGTTACCCCCACGAGGCTTATGCAGGCCCCAGTGCCTGCATCGCCAAATGAATATGTTTATTTGGTAAATGTTATTATATAATGCCATGTGGGAGCCTCTCTTCTAAGCCCAGTGTTAATATAAGCACCTTCATCCTCTTATGAATCCTAGGTGGCAAGCACTATTATCTAATTACTGATGGGGAAACTGAAGAATGGACTTAAAGTAACTTGTCCCAGGTTAATGTTTGAATGTGATAGGGCCTGGAACTGGCAACCTGGGTCCATCATCTGTGTCTTTAAGCACAGGCAAATGTACTACTGAACACCCTTGGGGACAAATCTTCCATTTATTTCCAAATATGCATATTTCATTCATATGTGTACACAGACACACAGCCTTTGCTAAGATGGTAGCTTATAATAGAGTGAATAACTTCATGAAGGAATGCTTCTTCTCTGAGAAGCCTCGGGAAGATACTGGCTGAGACAAAGCTGGTTTTAGGAGTTTCCTTAAGAAAAAAAAAAAATCTCTTAAATTTGACTCAAAAAAGCTCTCCGTGAAACCATCATGAAACCTAGTGGACAAATCACTTTGAGATCAATTATCCTAAATATTCTCCTATAACAAGTTTTAGAAGCACTTCAAATCTTTTAGGTTCTTGCCTATAATTTTGACTCTTTGACAGCTCATTGTTTACATATTTTTGAGCACTCAAAATGTGCCCAGTCTGTGCTGGGCCCCAGGATACAGCTGTGAGATGGTGAGCTTTGTCAACTTGACACACTCTAGAACCACCTGGAAAGAGAGTTTCTATGTGGGGTTGTCTCATTGGATTGGCTTATGGGGCATCATCTTGTTTCTCTTTTTTGGTCTTAGGGACAGGGTCTCCCTGTAGCCACAGCTGGCCTAGATTCATTATGGAGACCAGGCTGGCCTCAAACTCACTGGGCTTTGCCTGCCTCTGCCTCCCAAATGCTGGGATTAAAAGCGTGTGCCACCATGCCTGGCATCATGTTGACTGTTAACTGAAGACAGACCCAGTCCACTGTGGGAGGCACCATTCCCTAGAAAGGGAGTAAACAATGTAAGAAAGAAGAGAACGAAGGGCAGCAAGCCAGGATCCTCACGTTTATTCTTTCTCTGCTCTTATCTACATGGGATGCTTTATGTTCCTGCTTTCACTTTTCCCCAATGAACTGTAACCTGGAGGAGTCAGCCAAATAAAACCTTTCATCCCCTCTACTACTTGAGAGAGAAAAAATGTTTATACGTGTCACAGAAACAGAAGTGAAATTAGGTCAAGCAGTGAAGATGAGAGTCTGACTTGCAGGGTGCCTGGCTGGTGTGGGATGTCTGGAAATTTCAGTGCCAAGTGAGTGAGGTAGGCCATGGGGGAGATGTAGGAGTGGTGAGCACTGAGTACAGGAAGTTCCTCAGTGTCTTCTGGAGCATATCCTGCATAGTAGTTCACCAAATGTCAGCCAAGCTGGGCTCCAAAGAATGTAGGATAATTCCTACAAGGAAAGGGAGGGGGGATATGTGTGGGCAAAGAGGAGAGGCAGAACTGAAAGGCCAAGATGAGATTTTCCTGTTTAGAACTACCATTCTGTAGAGTGAGGAAGTGATTTCAGGAGGTAAGGGCATGGGCAGAGGAGGCCTTTGATGAGGTCCAGGTGAAGAGTATGGGATGTGGGATGGAGTTGGGAGCTAATAATTTGGAAGAAGGAATTTAAGATTTTTTCTTTTTAAAAATAGTTTCTGGGGCTGGAGAGATGGCCCAGCGGTTAAGAAACTTATTCTTTGAGAGGACCTGGGTTCGATTCCCAGACCCCACATCGTGGCTAACAACCATCTGTAACTCCAGTTCCAGGGGATCCAACACCCTCTTCTGGTCTGTATGGGCATTGCATGAATGTAGTGCACTTACAAACATGCAGGCACAACACTCAAACACATAAAATAATAAACAAATATTATGATAAATAAAGAATTTCTACATGTAATCCAGGCTGATCTCAAACTCACTATCCTCCTTAATGCATGGATTTATAAGCATGCCCCATTGCACCCAGTTACAAGGATGATTTTGAATTTTTCAGCGTTACCCTCCAGGGCCTCAGCCATTCCTTTTAGGATACCTTGCTTTTTACAAGATAACCCTGGGAAACCTGGGTTTTCACAAGGCAACCCTGGGGAAACCCTCAGCAGGCAAACCTGTCCACGTGGTGTAACGCACCTCCTCCATCCAGCCTCCGTTGTTGATGGTGAAGTCTAAAGCTTAAGGGTACTGGGTAGGCTCTGACCTGGTGTACGGAAGCAGTTTAGGATTGTAGTGTTTCCGTTTTACACCACCTGGAGAAAGGTAGCTTGTAACAACTGTAGGTTTTACAGATACCTGAGGCGTCTGCGAACCACGTCTGAGTCATGCTCAGCGCCCAAGCGAATGTAAGGCCCAAGCCCCACGCTGTGACTCCAAGTTCATTTGCTGGGCATTAACCCAGCGAGTCCTGGCCTCTCCAGGGTTCGGTTAAGGCCACTGTGCACACTTGGAGCCTGTTTAGCGCCTGACATCCTTCGCATCTACTAGAAGGGACCGCGCTAGGCTTTTCTCTCTCCTAAAAAAGTTCCTGTCTCCCACCTCTAGAGCCAGTCACCTCCTACCAAGTCGGACCACGTGTCACAGGTACGTTTTTGGCTCTCTGCCTCCCCCGTTCGGTTTCCCCTGCCTCCCCGCCTTAGGTGGCAGGAAAATCCTTTACCTCCGACCAATCCCACTGCCGCCGAGCCGCGCGCGCGCGCCAACTCCAGCTCCTTCAGTGCACACCATTGGCCACCTCCACCTATGCACGGTGACAGGCAGCTTCACGGACCTATCGGAGGAGGAGGCGGAGGCCTGCCGGCCCTCCCAAAGCTGCTTTGTTAGGGGCTCGCTGGCCGTGGCCCGGCCCGCAGCTCCTCTGCGGCTGTACCGCGGCCTCCTCGGGCTGCGCCTCCAGAGGCTTGTGGGAAGGCATCCGGGAGCGCGCAACGCCAGCATCCCTCCAGCTGCAGGATCCGGCCCGGGTCTGGATGCAGCACAGGTACCCAGCGTGCGCCTGCTGTCACTCTCCAGCCCAACTCCGAACGCCCCGCTCCTGTATCCGCCGTGTCTGATTGGCTGGCCGGAGGCGGAGCGATTGTCAGCAGCTCCAATCGGAGCTCGGTTTCCCACGGGCTCTCGAAGCCCCGCCTCCGAGGCCGCCGGCAAAGGCCCCCAGACAGTTTCCATTGGCAGAAGGCGAGCGGGCCGGAGCTCGGCGGGGCAGAGCAGCGCCGCCGCCGTCGGGCGTGCATCTCTGCAGCGCCACGAACGCTTCTGCGCCCGCAGCCCAAGGGGCCCAGCGGTCCCGCATTGTGCCTGGCTGGGTCGCTGAGATTCGGGACGACCATCTCAGGTGTGTACCGCGGGCCTAAGGGGAGCGGGCCGACTGGCTGGAGCCTCCCTGAGGGATGGTGATGAGGATGCCCGGAGCCGCGGTGCCAGTCACGGACACGTCCTGACTCACATCTCCCGCACATTGGGGCTCCCGGTGGGTCCTAGCTCCCCCAGATCGGGCTTTACTCGTATTGTTTTTGTGTGCACACACTTGGGAGGTGGGATGATCTGGGGGAGAGGAGGCACGAGGAGGCAACCCTCGCGCTAAGGAGTGTCCAGGAGGGAGGGAACACAGCGGAGCCAGGTGCACCGAATGGAAGTCATCGACTCCAGGCGTTGGCATTCGATCTTTCTGGCAGCAAGTCAGCGCTGACCTGCAGCGGAGGCATCTCTATGTATTTATCGGCTGATTTTTAATCAACTTCAGGGAGAGCGTGCGTGTATGTGCGTGGGTCTGTGTGTGTGTGTCGCGGTCCCCGACTTGGGCACTTACGGGCCTGGCTTTGCGCCAGCGCTGCCCGGCGCTCACCTTGGCCATCCGTGCTGTTCCCGGGTACACGGGCGGAGAATCGGGGGGCGGGGCGGGCACGCTGGACCTGAGGTGGGCCAGGGAGGGGGCATTTAAAGCGGAATCCTGTCTGTGGGCAGACAATGACTGGTCTGGGTGGCAGAGCTGTGCTTTGGGTCCCCGCCTCGGATCCCACCCCCGCCTTGCCCTCTTGCCTGCCCTCCTGCTCCGATGCACCGCGCCGCTGGCCACCGAGTTGGGGACACTCGTGGGGCCCGCTTTTGTTTACAGACCTCGCCATTGGGTGAGAGCTCTTCTCCCCCGCCCGGCCGCTGTTGACTACCCCCCCCAGGGGGGCGGGGAGTCAGAAGTTGGAGTGTGCCCTCAGGTCACACCCCCCCAATCCAGGTCTCCCCCGCGGGATGCTTCTGGGAAAAGACACAGACTGTGCGCCTTCACACCAGTGCCACCCCTCCCCGTGCGCTCAGATCTTATGCACCGAGAGGTGCTCGTGTCTTGGCCAGGGTCCCTCTGGATAGGACCATTGGGTCGCGGACCTGGCCACGTGCATCTCCCTGGTCTTTCTCCCGGGGCAGATTGACTTAGAATTTGTTCTTCCGTACGTGGTGGCTGGCAGGTTTTGAAGGACGCGCGCGAGCCCTTGGGGGCACTGCAATCCGTGGCTGCTTCTTTGGTACCTACGCAGTCCCGCGTAGCAGCTGGGCGGAATCCAGGAGCCAGAGCAGGTGTCTGGCGCATGCTGACTTGGGGGAACACTATGAAAGCTGCAGCAGAGATTGAGAGCCTGGATCTGAGGCCGTAGAGCCCAGGTTCCAGGTCCTGTTGAACGTCATTTACGGCTGGGTGATCCTGACTGAGTTTTTATCTTTCTCAGCCTCAGTTTGTACATCTGTAAAGTGGAGATACATTTCCTTATGAGGGGGTGGTATAGGTGGCTATAGGGTTAAGTAACAAAGTAAATGAGCCGCATTGTATAATGATAACCACGTGAAACATCTAAGTAACTTTGATTTGCCAGAGGAAATTTGTTAGGAGTCACCTTATCAGGGTTCTTATCATGGATTCGCCCTTCCAACACCTCCCTTTCTATTTTAAGAAGCACGAAAGATTGACTCTGCTTTTCAGCTCCTACAAGACTAGTTTTATTTACTTGACCTTAGATTTAACTCTTATCTAGTCTCTTGTGATGCATTTTTCTGTTTGTGAATTTCCTTTGGATTCTACTTGTTTCTTCTTCCTGAAGACTTTGTGAAGTTCAAACTTGGACTTGGGAAAAGAAAAAAACCCATCCAGGTGGGAAACCTTTTCCGGTGAAGCAATGGCAGCTTGCAAAGCCATGAATGCAGGGAAGGAGGGAGATTTGAACAAAGAACTGTCTGGAGGCAGGAAAAGCTTAAAACATCACTGGACTGTAGGGTAGACAGATTCTTTTGTGCCTAGGAGGAGTTGCAGGCAGGGAGACACTTTGAGTGGTAAACATTGAAGTTGCTAATTTTTTTTTTTTTTTGAGGCAGGGTCTCCCTGTAGCCCCAGCTGTCCTGAAACTCACTATGTAGACCAGGCTGGCCTCGAACTTGCAAAGATATGCCTGCCTCTGCCTCCCAAGTGCTGGGATCAAAGGTGTGCCCCACCATGCCCGGCCTGCTAATTATTTTTGAATAGAAGGAAAATCAGCTTGAGGAGGAGAAGGCTGTTTAAGTAGGAAGGTGGAAGGGGGATTGATTTCACTGATATCTTCAGTGTTGTCAATGTGTTTTGACTTGGTTTTCCTATCCTCCTGACCCTGTACTAGTAATTTTTTGGATGCAATAAAAACCGAGAAGCCAGTTTCATATTGAAAAAAACCCCATAAATTAAAAGAATAAGTCATCATCAGATAAATAGTTTAAAAAGATGTCAGGCTTGTTGACAGACAACATCTTTTGCTCGATGGGGCAAATCGTTGAGCTGGGCCCAATAATGGATCCTTTCAATGCAGACCTCAGAGGTCCTGGCCAGCCAAAAGAAGCAAACAAACACCAGGAGAGACTTGTAGTCTATCCAATGGCTGTAGGAGTCCCTAAGGACTGGTTCCCTTCAGCTCCCCAGTTCCTTGTTCCTGTGTCAACCTAAGAGGAGGCTGACTGCTTCAAGCCTCTGATGTGGTATTGAGGTAAACAGGCTGGTAGCATTATTGCCAGATACCAATTAATCAATATGATCAGCTATTTAAAGTTCTGCCACCAGAACTGATTTCAATCCTTTTTGCACTTGTTCTGGGAATTCTTTGGCTCTTAGTGATGCTGAAGGACACCACCCTCCTGCTGTTGTCTGGGGGATCCAATCAATTGGAGATCTAAACTTAAAAGGAAGCCCAGGTTTAGGAAATCTCATTAGCTGACAATTTACACTCTAAAGCTCATTCAAAGAGCTAGTACAAAGGCTTCTTGCCTTCTGCAGTAAGTTCTCCCCCATAACCCACAGGACATAGGAAAAACAGTGCTGGTCCTGTCTCCTCACTGAAATTCCCAAGGTTGGTGAGCTGATGAATCGCAGGCTTTCTGGACACCTGGTCAGGATTTCCTCCCAGAAAGCTTGGCTGATGGCCTACTAGGTATATATGTTAACACTTCCATGGTCTTCTTGCTGCACGGAGCGTACTGATTGGAGGAGAATGGTTTTGGGGACCCCATGATTTCCCAGATGAGGAATGTGGTGAGGGTTGCAATCCCATAGCAGCTTTAGCTGGACATTGGTGATGGCAGAGCAGGCTCTCCTGTTTCAGAGTCTCTCTTCTAAAACGAGTAAACAGGTACAGGGAATATTTTTTTTGTCCTTTTGCTTTTTGTTTTCTGGTTTTTTTATGGTCTTTTTCCCCCCTCAATAAAAGATCAAAAAAATCACATCTACAAGGCCCCAGCAAACTTTTTATTTTTTCTTTTCTCTCCTAATTCCAAACTTCAGATCATTTTATCTGCAGGGCTGAGGGCAAGAAGACAGAGTGATTCCTGTGCACAAGAGACAAACAGGTCTACGGGATTCCTGAACTCATGAAAAACGAACCTTTTTTTTTTACCGTCTCTAGACATTTGATCTCCTGTGTCAACGTTGGTTTCCACGTGCACCTCTGTGTGTGTGTATGTGTTATTTTCAAAGGATCAAACCATACCAATTTAGTTTGGCCATCTTAAAAATTTTTTTTGGGTTTATTTATTTTTATTTTTTGTGTATGAGCATTTTGCTTGCATGTATGTAAATACACTCGTGTTGTGCAAAGCCAGTGGAGGCCAGAAGAGGGCCTCAGATTCCCTGGAACTGGATTTGCAGATGGTTGTTAGCTATCACGTAGGTGCTGGAAATCAAACCCGGGTCCTCTGCTAAAGCAGCCAGTGCTCTTAACTGCTGAGCCATCTCTCCAATCCCATAATTTAACCATCTTAATTGACTTTATTTTTCAATGCAAGGATCAAGCGACTCTTCATCCCATAAAAAAAGAAGTGTTTTGATGGAAGAAGAGGAAGTTGGGTTTTAGAAAGAAGAAGGCTTGAAGAACATTGAAATCAACCCCCAAAGCAGTTTGGTCATATGTACATACATACAGAGTCTCTTTTCTAAAACGAGTAAACAGGTACAGGGAATTTTTTTTTGTCCTTTTGCTTTTTGTTTTCTGGGTTTTTTATGGTCTTTTTTCCCCCTCAATAAAAGATCAGAAAAGTCACATCTACAGGGCCCCAGCAGACTGTTTTTTCTTTTCTCTCCCAATTCCAAACTTCAGATCATTTTATCTATAAACATTCCATTCTATATAACTTCTGAGTCGCAGGGGAAAAAATAGTCTTTCAGCATCATTGTAGGCCGACTCATTTACTTATGAATAATAAAGAAAAAGAAGGGAGGCACTCAGAAAGAAAATGGTCCTAGCAAGGAACAGACTGTTTGAGAAGTGAAACAAGGTTCCAGTGTAAAAGTAAAGGAAATATTCATAGTTAGGCAGTTTTCCCTCCTCTCCCCTTCCCAACCTCAGGCATCTTCTTCCACACCCAGTTAGCATAAGACTGTTTCTGTTCTGTGGTCTCCAGGGACCTTATTAAGAAATTCACAAGGGCTGGAGCTGGGAGTATGGGCAACAGGAGAAATTCCTCCGCGGCTGGTAGGAGATCCTTCTAGAAGACTTCACAGCGCTTTCTTTAGTTCTTTAGCTGAGGAGGTTCCTCTCCCAGCAGGACTGAGGTGTGGCCCAGAGACCTTGTGCTCAGTGGCAAGACAGAGGTCTTAGTTCACTGACAGTAACAGAAGCAGGTACCACACCCAAGGGACACGAGAGGGTGGGATAGAAGAGCCAATCAGTTGTCTGC